AGTTTATTCTTTCTCGATACAAACTTTTAGTACATAGTAATTTCCTAATCAATACGTTTCTCGTCACTTTAAACTTAATTACTTTTATAATACACGCTATAAATCACAGCGATTCACAATCTCGATAACTTTTCTCTCTACGGGTACAAACACACACTTTATATTACCGTCACTACTGTTCGCTTCTTTAATTATCTATCTATGTCTATTCTTTGCCAGGCTTATATACTAAAAAAGAGGGCGTCTATCAAACACTCGGACATTCGCGGGGTTCCTTGATAATTCGAGAAACTCATTCACGCATGCGCTACCAGCGCCAGCAGAGTCACGCGACTTCCGCTGTCGTAATAATATATTGAAATACTGTTATAAAAAGCCCATAGATATTATATATACTTGTCAGTAATTGAATCAATAAAAAAAATTCAAGATAAAATTATATCTTGAAAAATGCAATCTTAGTATATATCAAATGTACAAACTACAGTGAAAAACTATTTACTATTGGTCTTGGTTAAGAAATAATTATTGAAAGCGTACATCTGTGCGGAACGAGAACAAGAGAAAACTAATGCGAAGAAACAGATACATAAGGTACTGAAATGATTTCTAAACAGACCTCGGCAAGTTGCTAAGTTTCACAGAAACTGTGAATATTAAACTACTTTAGAAATTTGTTCTATTGTTGAATGGCGAAACAAGAACAATACAATATACTGCGCTAGAGAAAAAATTGTTTCATCACTGTCAGCGGCTAAATAGATTACTACAGTTATAATACTTATACACAATAGTAAAAAATTTTGTCTTTTATACTGCCTCTCTGAAAATATAAAATAAAAATATCTTATACATTGTATTTGGTAACTCCATTTTATTACTATACGAGGGCATCACTCCAAGTGTAACCCATTAGATTTCATTTATTTTTTATTGCCACACTAAACGATCTTAGAGAGACAGTAGAGGACACTGCTAGACTATTTGAATTCAGTTTTCTGCTGAGATTTCGGGACTCAAGCTAGTGTTAGTATTAATTCGTGTAAATTCGCTGTTTTTGATGTATTTGTATTAACGATAATTACATCTTTATTAGTAGGTGAAAAAGAAAGCCTTTTTGCAAGTTTATGTAATTCTGTTTTTCACAGCTGCTTTATCATTAACCAAAAGCATCGTATAAAGATACTATAACTTAACATTAACAATTATTAATATTAAAATATTATATTAATATTGAACATGATGATGAAGTTGAACTTGAAGGACAACAAGAGGGCCTCTTGGCCCATCGAAACTGGCCAGACTACGTCCATTTATAAAACGATCTCTCAACTACAGTTCTGATTATTTAAGTATTTACAAAGTGTTTAAATTCCCAATAAATTTACTGCACCCGTCACAACTGAGACTAACCTGTAACAAAGACCAACCACAGTGTTTTGTAATATTAATTACACTTCCAAAGTTTATATTTGCCCCCTTGCCTTACTCTTACCATTTTCACAGTAATTGCAAAAAAAAAAGATGATGCATTGATAATCTTGAACATCTCATTCAGATCTCCTATAACTCTTCGTTTTTCAAGAGAAAATTTCATACTCGTATCATAGATCTTAACTTGTCCTTGCAAATATATGTGTTAACCTTAATGGTATTGACATTGATCAGTCACTGTATAAATTTTTGAATTACGTAATAAAATTATGCTTGTTCATGAATACTGTACTATGTACAAGTTTTTACTAATAGTATGATGTTTTTAAAATATGGGCTTCTGTATTCATGATATTTCATATTGATATTTTTTGTTTTGAAAGATGGACCATGGACATTCTGATGGTAAGCAAGGCTGTTGCTGCAATGCAACCACACCAATACCTTCAGTTCATCAGACGCTAGATGAGATGGAATTTGAACGAGGTATTTGGTCAGCAGGTGAGATATATTTAGACATATATTTCTATTATGCAACCTCTTCATGACAGGAATTGTTTAAGTTCATAGAATATATTGGGGACAAATGTGCAAGTAAAGCAAACAAACAGTGATTACCAATAATACTCTATGATAAATAGAGAATATTTTCTAGGTATAGTGTAATACTAATAGACTAAGCAGAGAACGAGTCTTTACTGTACAGCTGTTCATAAAAGAAAAAGTCAATATAAGTTAAAGTGTTCAACATTTATTTAAAATTCATGACACCATACCTGAAGGTCAAATACATTTCCTCACCACTATATAAACTTAGTTTAAAAATTCCATTATATACATTCTAAGCATTCTGTTACCCAGTGTGCTCAAATGGAGCCATTGAAATCAATCCTTTCTGATCTACTTTTAAACTTAACCAATATTATATACAGTAACAATTTTATATGCTGACTCGTATATATTTCCACAAACTTTTTTTTTATTATTTTACCCTGCTGAAATTCCTTTTTTATTCTTTAATATGTTGAAGAACCCCAGGAAGAGTTACTTCACAATTTTTTTATTCAAAACTGTCAGAGCCTTGGAGTAATTCTTTATAATTGGATGACATTGAGGGCATCCAAATGACGAACCATTACATTCCAACCATTATTATAAGTTTTTGTTTTGTAACATTACATACTGCTAATTAGACCAGTATAGTAAACTAGCTACATTATTAATTGGGTAAGTTTTTCGTTCTGAATTAAGTAGGCAGCTTGCTTTGATGAGCATAGGTATTTCTGTATACTTAGAAAATCACCTAATACATATAACTTGGGACTCTTACTTCCCCATATTTGATCAACATCCACAAACAGTTACTTGCATTCTTGGTCAGAGAGCTAACATTGCACACCTTAGTAAACCTAGCAGTTTCCCATTTTTCCATTTCAAGAGCAGGCTTTACTTTAAGATTCTCTGTTTTCTTTTATAACTTTCACACTCAATCTGCTTTTTTACACACTAATTTTATTGTGTTGTAAACTCCAAGTTTTCCTCCATTATTTAAACCTTATTAATTATTATTTATTTATATGGTTAAACACTAATGTTTTGTAAGGTATACCAATAGATGATTGATTATCCTTCAGCCTTCGTTTACTGTCACAGGTTATATGTTGTAGCCAAAAGAAGTACTTAACGTTTTAACCCTGCAGTAGTACCCTTACTGTATGGAACAACCTTTGTACCATGGGTTTGCACCCCACCCCACATCAAAAAACAAATCAAGTTTTATTAGATTGTTAATCTATCTATGTGTACATTTAAAGTAAACATCTTGTGAATGATTCCATAGAATATTGTTCATTTTTTAATGTTTTAGTAGCATTAATAAAGAAATAATGGAAAATATCAGATATTGATGCTTGTGTCGTTTTATTTGATTAAAAAAGTAAAATTTATATTTTTTATCTAAACATCTTCCTATGAATTATTTGGAACTAAAAAGATCATTGATTAAGCAACATCAATGAAAATGATAAATAACAGAGTGAGAGTTAATCTGGGAAAACATACCTTGGTTTAGTACCATGGGGTATTTTGCTCCCCAAGCCACAAGAAACTGAATGTTGCTCTCAGCTCAGCTGTGGTAAAAATGGGTGAACTAGGTGTGTACTCTATCAGCAGTTTTAGGAAGCTACCAGGAACAGCAAAGGCCTGATGCTTCAATCTGTTTGTGAGATTGTTTATACAATTTTTGGGGTAGAAAAAAAACCCCATGATACGAATGTAGGGTTAAGAAATGGATCTTAGTATCCAAAAGATCATGAAAAATAAGCTGTTTTATTATACATTAATATTTTGATCTGTAATAAAATCAGACCACTAGTGTTGTTTGAGTTATGATGTACCAATTTAATGGATATTTTGAAAAATTTAGAGTTGTTAGAATAACTTATAAGTTTTGAATAAAAGAAGAAAAAAAAAGCTAAGTCTAAGTTTAAATAAATAAAGAATATTTAAATGTATAACTAGAGGCAAGGAAAAGGATAATAAGTTTTGAAACAAAACAAATTGCAAAATTTATGAATCACCTAACATATCAACAAAACTATGAACTTTGTTAATGTACAATATATAATAGTGTCACATCCTCCCATGGAAATGAAGGGTAATTCTCTAATTTCTGAACACCCTGGAATTTCAGTCCCAAGTCCTTACTGATAGTGATGGTGAACAATATAGACTCTCAAGTGAGCTTGAAGAGTGAAATGTTTTGTCTAAAAGGGATAAAATTATTTCACATCTTTTATAAAGACAGTTGATTAGTAAGTTGTTTTTTTTTCATACTTTAAATGGGCATAAAGTTTAAGCTAATTACTCACTGCATTATCAAAGTTTAATTTTCAAGTATATGTGAGATGATAAGTAATGAGAAAAGCTTTCAATCCTTTATGTTAATACAACCATATCCCTAAACTTTGTCAGAATCCACAAATATTAAGGAAGGAAAAAAAATGCAAGATTTGGATAATTATTGTATTGTTTAGTTACATGTTGAGAAAGGCTACTAAGGATAGTTGGGTTCATTATACATATCCTGATCATCTTGAGCATTAGACCTGTACATAAAGCCAGTGTAACGAAACAACAACAAGTTAAGTTTAGTCATAGTCAACAGAGGGTTTCATGAACAGAAAGTCCACAATTATTAGACATGTAAATTTCAAAGCAAAGATTTTGTTTGCAAACCATCAGAATCATAGTAATTTATTATGTCATGCTCACTCTCATTGTAAAACATTAGTAATTTATTAAAAAAAACAAAACCTGTTTTGAAGTGGCATCTTGTATATAAAAAGATTTTTGTTTGAAAAGAAAATCATTTTTAATTTCAAAATAAGAATGTATTTTGCTTTTATATAGTGTGTACCTAATGTTTGCTTTAGCACTTGTGGTGGATTATTTTGAAAAAAATATGCACATAGTTTTTAAGTACCAACAAACTACAAACCCATAAATATATTTCATAAAAGTCCTAATTATAAAACTACTGAACAAGTGGATACATTAAGGTATACTATTGTACAATAATTATTTAGCCTTGAATCATCAGTATAACTCTCTCTCTCAATTGCCTCTGTTGTGTAGTTGAATTATATTGAGACTGAAATTCATCTTTACTGTTTTGTAGCTATGAATGGTGATCTGCTTAAAGTCAAGTCCTTAGTGGCAAAGGGAACTGACCCAGGAAGTAAGGACACAAGTGGGTACACAGCATTGGTTAGTTGTAACTTTTTTATTTGGTTGTTTTAAATGTAAGTTTTTGTACTTAGAACTTCAAGCTGTGTTGTAGATTGTTATGCTTTTATGATCTTTACATACGTTATATGCAGCAGTTTTAAATTTTGACATAACTTGAGCCAATTTTAAAGATATCAGAGATGAATGGCATTTACCAATGTGGATATTTAAACTTTAAATTACCAAAAAGTCTGAAATAATGTTGATAATAGAAGGTTGTTAGCCTAGCTTTTTCACAGTTATAGACAACTCAGTTTTGGTTATTTAGTATTCTTCCATGATAACAACATAAAGGTAATTAGAAATTATTTTGTATACAAATATGCATCAAATATTAATTAATCAAATGAATATAATAATGCATTATCGTTTCTTGCTTTTAAATCACTTCAGAAACACATTTTTACTCAATGGTAGTATACTACAGAACTACTACAAATTTATGTTTTAAAATTAAGAAATGCTTACTGAGGATAAAAATGAGAATTGGAAGATAAGTGAACAGTAAAAGAACATTGCACTGAGTTATAGAAGGAAGCATGAATTCTTGAATTAGAATGTGATTTGAGCTTGTATGCTTATTTCAAATTCCTTCTAAATTATTAAGTCTTTAAAATAGGTTTTAGCAAAAATGTTCTTAAATTCTGTTGAACATAATGCCGACTTTCAGTTTTTACAACGTTTATATGATAAACAGTGAAGCATTGCAATCACAGTTGAAGAACAGAAAAGTCTTTATCTTTCCATAAAGCTACCTTCACTGGTTTGTATTTCCATTTCAGTAGTCCATATAATGTAATATAATGATTTTTATGCACTTAATCAAGTAATCAGCTGATTCTTCACAAAATGATGAATTGCTCCTAAACTGGACCCGTTGATATTTAAAATATATATGATTTATTTGTTTGAAATAAGTACATTATACAATAAAATTTGGATCCAGCTTTCTTGATAAACTAGCAACACATCGTATTATAAGTGTTACATATCCTTCTTGGTCCTCTTTTAATGTCTCTCTCTCAGTGCACTTAACCTCTCTCTCCATGTGTGTTTGTAACCTGCAATAGTTGGAGGAAAATGATAATTTTTGGCCTAACATGAGCACATATTTTTGTTAAATTTACGTATTGAGAAAAAAAAGAGAAATATGAATACATAAAAGATGAATTTAAAGAAATTCATTTCTAATGTATAGTTTTCTCTGTTTAATAAAATACTGTTAATAATTGCACAAGTCTATGAAATGTATTTACAGCATTATGCAGCTAGGAATGGACACTTAGAAATTTGTACTTTTCTTCTGGAGAATGGAGCATGTGCTAATGTCCAGACCCTTGGTGGTGCCACACCTTTACAAAGAGCTGCTTTGAAAGGCCATGTAGATATTGTTAAGATACTTTTACATTTCAATGGAAATCCATCAATTTGTGACAGTGATGGAAAGACAGCCTTACATAAAGTAAGTAGCAAAAATTTGTTAAAAAACATAACATTTTAGCATGAAATGCATAGTCACTGTATAGATGGATTAGTAGAGTAGATGTATAAGCAAGATAGTAAAATGTCATGAATTGTGTGAGTTTAGAGGTAAGCAAGATTACTGATTGACAAAAGTGTTGAAAACTGATGTGTGACTGAAGTGTAGTACATGGTCATGCATATCTAATGTAAATTCAGTAGTATTAGGAATTTTGTAGGTCAAAAATAACTTTAAGACCATCACAAATGTCGTATGTAAGGAATTTTATAAAGTGCCAAAAATTATCTTAAAGCAAATTCACAGTGACTTTACTGCACCCAATAAGACCACATGTGGATAGGCACCATGTGTGAGTCCTGTGTTCTCTTTGAATGTGAATATCTTAGAAAGCACAAACTGTATTTCTCCAACAATTTTAGCAAACCATTTGACATGTGTACAGACCATCAGCACTGAAACTTTATGTTTGGTTGTGGTTCCTGTAGATTACTGAAAGCTGTTTTGCCAGTTTTAAAGTGATAACCAACCATGGACCTGAAGACGCAAGCAGATAAACTACTATAATGACTTATTATGACAACTGTCAAGGATTGTGCATTGAGTGTACTACTTATTTGTGGAGTGTCTACATTTTTATGAAAGATCTCAAATGAACATATATTAATGGGGTCATGAAAAGAGTATAATCCTTCTTTAAAATGCATTGTGTAGAACTTAGCCATGTTATAAATATCAGCATTAGAATGTTTTGTCCAGAGCTCATGTCTTAATTCCATAAGACATTTTCAGACCATCTGAGGGTTAATTAGAGGTTATACCACGATAAATTAAGTGAGCTTTTGAAAGAATAATGCAGACAATTTGCACCAAATACTTTCTGAAACCTAGTTTAGAGTTATTCAGACCAATGTGGTGTTACACACTACTAAGATGGTGATCACTAAGACTATTGGTGACTTGTAGTTAATACTGAGGAGGAGCTGGTAATATTTTAACTCCAACCCCCAGAAATATAGAATAGTAAAAGTGGTACTTACTTTAGATATCCTGATTTATTTATATGGGAGTTTGAGTCATCTATCCTTCATTGGTTGTTTTTAAATTTAGATTCTGATTGACTCCATTAACTGTGTGGCCAGCTTCAAAATCTCTGTTAAACCAGGAAAGAAGGCTTGGCTTTTCTTGGCAGTTTCGAGTATAGAGAAATTGTATAGCTAAGAAAACAAAGAAACAAGATGCACAAGTGTTCTGTGCCTCACACCACAAGATGTCACCTTGTTGAATGGTATACAGTGCAACAGGAAGAGTTTTGATTTTTTATGAAAATATTTCGTTGTCAAGGATTTTGCACCCAAAGAGTAAATGTAGATATTAATATAAAAAAATAAGAAATATTTTATTTATTCAAAATCTTTGAGGAGGCATGGTTTCTTTTTGTTCTTCTGAATAGTTGCCACTGATTGTGACTAGTTATCATTATTTGTCTAGGCACCTTTGTAGTGGTAGTGTATATAGCTATGTGATTGTCACTTAGAGCTTATTATTCTAGCATTTTGTTGGGATCAGCAGATGAGTCACAGACTTTTATAAAAGAATTCAAACTTGACAGTATAGTAAAAACATAAATAAAATAAAATATTGTATTCTTACATATAGTGAAACCTTGCCCATATGAACACATTTGTAATGAATTAATTCATCCAGATTAATGAGACTTTTGGATAGTTGAATCAGTCATTTTGAATAAAATAAACACCATTAATAACATGCGTTGTCAATCAATAAATGTAAGGGGTCAAGGTAATAAGGGTGGACATGCAACTGGTAAACAAAAAGTAACTATATGTACAGTAAACTTCATCAGTTTATTCATCTTTACTTCATCAATAATTACACAAATCACATAATTAGTGTACCTTCATTATCTTCACATAAATCGTTTTATTCAAAATACCAAATACACATAGTATTGGTTAAATATACAACAGACCACTTTCCGAGAAAGGATGTGATCACTGTCTGCTTTTGAACTAGATGTTTTTCGTTTGAAGTTTCTTGATAGTTTTAAGCAAATAACACATTACTACATCATCTTCACATAAGTTATTGTTTTATTTGAACAATGGGATGATGTCTTTAAGGATAAATTGTACTTTATTCAGACTGACTGGCTCAACTAATGGATCATTTTCAATGTCAGATTCACTGTCATCACACTTTTGAAGAGATGTAATGGAAATGATGTCTTCATCTGACAACTTTTGACCAGATGGTTCTGCTGAGTTGATGTTGAGCCAATTACCAATGGATGTAGCGTAATTACCACTATAGATTAAGGTATGACTTCCAGAAGTAATGTAATTGATGATTTCTGACATCTTAACAAGCTCAACAGTTTCAATCTGTTCAGGCTGTTACAAAATGTTGATATACTTGCACATAATAACACTGGACCAAGCAAAATGGTAGTAAGCTTTGAATGACCTGATTATGCCAGCATCCATAGGCTGTATCACTACTGTGGTGTATGGTGGCGAGTGGTAAGGTGTTAATTTAGACAGTTGTTGATCTGATGCAGCTTAGCATTTCTGTCCACAAGGAGAATTAATTTTTCTTTTCTTTGAGTGCATCCTTCTGTTCATCTCCTCAAGCCACTTTGAGAAAAATATTGACGTCATCCAGGCTTTCTTATTCCACCTGTATCAACATGGACAGCAGGGTTAAAGTCACTTCCAAAGTGCATTGGTCGTTTCTATTTTGTAATTACAAATGGTTGCAACTAGTCACTATGTACTGGTACACAAGGCAAATGTTATGCAATTTTTGTATCTTGAACATGCTGGCTTTCCAAAGAATGACTAAGTTCCAATCAAATAAACCAGTATCTTCTAGATTTTAGATGTCTACCAATTCGTATCCTGCCAGAAACTTTCATAGATCTTTTTTACTTGCAGCAGCATTTGCATTTTGATCTGCACTTGCTACTTTGTCATAAACTGTTACCCAATGCAATAAAGGTCATTCTTAGAAAAATTGCTGTAAACTGGTACCCATTAGTTAGTGCAGGTGTTTTGTGGTCAGTAGTTATCATCTTTTTTCCTCTTCTGATCGATTCTTTCTTGGATTCTTGTGAGATCATGTACAGTTTACTGAATCTTATATCAATGGGAAATCCATGTTTTTTATAAGAAACAGCTGTTTGTATTCAGAATGCAAATGTGTACAGATTATTAGTGGAACTTCCCATTGTGAAGATTTGTCTATATACAAAATCATCTGGATTGTGAATAAAGCAGATTGTCAATGTCTGGACTAATGAGGTCTCACTATAATAAAATTTAACTAAACAATAAATTACTTCCACCTCTCCTGAAGATCTAAGAACAGACAGTTTGTTAAATGTGATCATATTTTGAAGCTAAGTGTTCTCTCTAATGAAATAACAACAAAATATAAGTTAAAACATTCTCAAAAATGGAACTGTAAGCTTTCATATTTATTTTGCACTTAATGAAACTCTGAAAACTGTAACTCACTGTGAATTCTTTTACAAATGAAGTTTCTACAGTAGTTTCCAATGCAGATAAGTAAAATTCAGACCATGGCTCATTTTTGTGATATTAACAGTTGTAAATTTTATGACTTAAGAATAGTATCTCCAATTGTATAGTCTAAAGTTCTGCTAAAGTAGTCTACATATCTCATTATACTTGAGTGTATACATAACTTCAAATGACAATGAGTAAATAATCTTATGTCATGGTTTATTGCACTATTTATTGCTTAATAATAATTCTGACTCAGAACCCTGAGTAAGACTACATATAGTCTCCTGCACTTAGTCTTATTACAGAAAGATCAGATCATAAGCATGATAACTGGATTACAGGCTAAAGTGAAGTAACAGTAATAATGTTTGACTTGTAATACTACTATTACAACTAAACTCTAAAAAAAAGTTGATGTATTTTAATAAAATAAGCAATATCTTTAACATTTAAAGTACCTTCAAGTCAGTCATTGTTAATATAAATCCAATAGGAGAAAACAAATATTCGTTATTTATTTTTAATATCTGTGTCAACAGACCGTGTTTTTTGGAAACAGTCTGAGCCATGAGCAGTTTCAAGAAATGGTAAAGGGCAAAAAACTATGTAGTATTTGGTTCCTCAGCTTTCTGGGCTGTGCATTGTCACTTACTTCCTGGTACATTTAGCCATTTGTGGTTATTAAGATATCATATTCAAGCCAGTAGTTATCCTGTTTTTTTATTTTGACAAAACTCTATAACTGAAAAAAAAAACCTCTGGTGAAAAACTTTCAGTGTTAACCCTTGAAGCATGATTGACACCTTAATTCTACATATTGATAAAACAAAAGACATTTATTGTTATTCATTTGTTTTGAAATAACTAGTCATTGGACTTTTGTGTATGTGTGTGATTTCCCCTTATTGATAACTTTATTTTGTTTTTCTACACAACCAAACAATTTAACACATTGAATAAACTACTTTACTTCATTTATTTTTCAGGCAGCAGAAGGAGGACACTTGGATGTTGTTAAGATCCTTATAGATACAGACAGAAACCTGTGTTCAGTGAATGATAACCACTTCAGAATACCAGCTGATTGTGTATCAGAAAAACACCCAGAGATTGTAAACCTTCTGAGGCAAAGCTGTTGAGAGTATTATGGATTATCGTACGTATTATACTATTCCGTTAGTAGGTATAATTTTAGTATATTGGATATTGGTTTGTTTTCTTATTATCTTCTGTAACTTTTTCAAATACCACATAAAAAAAATCTGAATAATATAGGTACAATTGTTGATGATGTAACTAAACTGTCACATATATACAGCTAGCTACTTTTGAAATACTTCATTCTTACACCATATCTGCTACTGTTACACTAAAAATAAGCAATAATAGCTTAAAATTACAAACATTTCTCAACTGGCTGTTGGAGTTAAAACTTCAGCTGAGTTTATGTATTATTGCAATAGTGACAGCCATTTTATTCACTGCATTCCTCCATATAGAGTACTAGTGCACTCTCTGAGATATATAATACGTTTGTGTACTCTCCACCACACTGTGTGTATGTTGTGTTATAGAAAATTGAATACATTTTTTTTATGGGGGATGTCAGGACGTAGCTCCATCTATAAATGTAGTTAACGTTAACTTGCGTCAAAGATAAATGCTCAGTAACACCAGTAATGGAGGTGAAGGGGCTTTTTAAACACCCATTAACATGTCCCTTGTTCCAAACTATCATCCTACAATCTTTGGTTGAGATTGGCCCAGCGACCTAGGAGTGGTTAGATAACAGACAAACAGATACACAGATTTACTGCTTTATATATAGCAATGAAGTACACTATTTTAGCAATTTTTCTCTTCAAAAGCATCGCCATTAAAATGATAAGACCTAAAACGACTTTTCAATTAGTCAAACCAATTTTTGTAGTGTGTTTTACTCTATTGTTCAAAACAGTTTTTAATAATTAATTCTGTAAAGCAGTGCTCTCAACGTGGGCCATATCCCCTCCAGGGGGCCACGCCATGTTTCTAAGGGGCCTCACGTGAATGACAGAAAGTTAGGGGGCCACAATAAATTCTGAGTGGGCTACCGAAACTTCACTGCCCGTATAAAATATTTAAAATTACTTATACAAGTAAAAAATATTCTGTTAATCATTGACATTTTATTCAGTGTGATCCTTGGGCCTGAAGAACACTTGAAATTTTTGAATGTCCGGTTGCAGTGTGGTCAGTGATAAGAAAAGATCACCTCTCGTCACAACATCAAGGCGGTTACGTATTTTTGATATCAAATACGTTACCCGACTAAAACCAGATTCAACCAGATAAGATGTGGGAAAAGCGATAAAATACAACTTTGCCTTCTCCCAGAGCTGTGGAAACTTATTAGCTATTTCACTACTTATCCAGAAATAATGTTTGTCACGTTTGAATATAGTTTGGATTGTTATATCATTCTGCTGCTCTTGAGAATCAGTCGAAAACATTCACAGATATCTGACAAACATATTGATTGTTACTCAAGTACTAGTCGCATCTGGTAACTTGACTTCTGAGCTGTGGGGGATACGGGGAGAAGGAAACCTTTGATTCAAAACAGTATGTTATAAACAAAATATTTAAAAACAATACAATATTGTAAAAATAATGTTATAATATTATAAATCTCTCTCTCTCTCTCTATATATATATATATATATAAGAGGAAGTTTGCTTATTTGTTTATTTTGTTTGCTATAGGAAACCAAACGGGTGAACTTAC